CGGGGAACGACTGCAGCGCGCTGCTGGATGAAGAGCTCTCGTCTTTCTTCCTCAACTATCTCTCTGACACGCAGGTACGGCCAGCGGCCAGAGCAGGCCAGACACCAGGGTGCAGAACCGTGGGGCTGCAGCGGCAGCTGCGGAGCCAGGAGCGCAGCGGTGGGCGTACCGGGGCGATCGGGGGGTTCAGGCTGCAGAGCCCCCCTTCCACGTGCCTTGCGCTGCGCTCCGTTACAGGCGTAGCGAGCTGCAGGTCGCCGGCGCATGCTGTAGCATTGGGGGACACAGTCATCCGGGAGGGTCTGGTCAGAGCTACCTGGAGTCTATGGTTCCCCCACCGGCAAAGTTGAGGGGTACTGCGATTCCTTGGGCAAGTAGAGTCTAGCCAGGGTCGGAGGGACCCCTAAGGCTGGCTCTGGGTGCTGTAGGCGCGTCATCGGCGCCCAGCACTTGCTGCCGTACTTTCACGTGCACTTGTGGCGGGGTTAAGGGAGGCGGCCCGCAGCCCTGGAGTCCCCTCATTCTCCAGCACCGGGTACCCCAAGTACTGCCACTGGTTTGTCCGCAGCCCCCCACCTGCTCCCGCAGCGCAGAGTTTCCTGTCAGTTGCCGACTAGGGGAATTAAGGGTCTGCGGGGCACGTGGACATGCGGGCGGAGACACTGTCTATCTGCTTTCGCTATCCGGAGGAGACCCTCTAGGCAAGAGCAAAGCTGAATCGGGGCGGAAGGACTATCTGGGGGGTGTCTGGGTCCCCCTGCGGCGCGCGGCCTCGGCGCGCGCTCCACGATGCAGGGGGAAGGGAAGGTGAGGCGGCGTCCCGGGTTCTGGCTGAGCCTGGGAGCTTCACCGGCTACATGCTCGTGACAGGAGTGTGCTTTGGTGTTCGGGAGGGAGGAGGAGTGAGCTGCTGGCTTGGAGACCAAAATGGGGATTGCTGCTGGGGCAAACAGTTGCGAGGAAATGTGCACGCGGCGTGCGCGCCCCCAACTCCTCCGTTTCCCCCGGCCCATGCCTGTTGCAAGCCTAAAGTTTGGCTCCCGAGTTAGGGCTTTTGCTCTCGGCTCTTGGCTGCGTGTCCCCGAGAGGTTGGGGATGCGGTGGAGCCTGGGAGGAGACCCCGGATGCGGGGACACGCCTGGGTACGGAGCCCGGCTGACGGACGGAAACCCGCGGGACTCGCGGGGACGGACTGAGTACCTGGAGTGGAAGCGTTTGTGCCGGTCCGTTTTGCATAACACTGGGAGGGAGGGGAAGGCGGAGTGGGGAGAGGGGTGGGAGGAGAGAGGGAAACTTTGCTTCTGGTTAGAATCTACCAGTCTTTGGGCGGTAGCAGCTGTCATGGGACCGGGTGGGCGGGGAGAGGCTTGCAAGCTGACTCCTGGCGGTGAGACGCTACTCGGAGGGGACGCAGCGGCCGTCTCGAGACGTTCTGCTCCGGGAAGACTCCTGGTGGCGACTTCAGTCTGGCGATTAGGATAGGCGGCCGAGCGAGGTGTCGCCTAGCGGCAACCCGCCACGCACGGGAGACGGCGGGCCGTAGCCCTCTGCAAACGCCGCTGCGTCCCGGAGCTGCGGGGCCGCGTGGTGCGGCTGGAGCGCTCGGGTGGGTTCGCAGCAGAGGCCCAAGGGGACTGTCGCGAGTGATCGAGTGATCGCGCTTCCTCAGGTTGGGAGGGGGTGTTAATGATCGGGCTGTGCGCGCGCGCGCGCGCGTGTGTGTGCCCTGCGCGTGTGCACACGCCGCGCGCGCCGGGCGCGTACCTTTACCTCTGACGAAACTGCGGTGGAGCTCCCGGCAGCGTCGCCGGTCTCGGTCACACGCCCGGTGTTTGTGTCTGCCGAAGTCGGCCCTAGCCTCAGCACCCCAGCAGTAGATAGCCTGGGACCAGGACTGGAGGTGGTGGGAATTTGGTTTGGTGGCCCCCCGAGAAGACCTGCACCCCAGATCTCTATTGCCTGGAGTCGTTTCCATATTTCTACACTTAAGAACCTAGTAGAAGAGACCCAAAATAGCTAGTGAGACTTCTTCACCCATACCAAGGTTGTTTGCTCTGGACGTGACCCTGGCCTTTAACTTTAGCTTTGGTGTTTGGCTCACCAATAATTAATTGTTTGCCCTTTTAGCCGCCAGCCTAGCTTACTTAGTAAGGCTGCTTCACCAAGGAAACTAGAAAAAAAAATTGAGAAAGCAGGTGTCAGCAGAAGCAGTGCAGTGAAAGTTAATTTGGGACGTTTGCGCCCCCCCCCCCAACTTAACCACGTGACAGGCCGAAGATCTCTCGGTGATCTTTGCCGGGCCAACTTGGGAAATGTAATTGATACCAGGAGCTTTGCAGCCGCCCCTAGAAGGATCAGAGCTGAGCGGGAATGGGCGGGGCAGCCCGCCGCCTCATTTTACAGTTGAGGAAGAGGCTGTGAGGGGTGAGCTGCTCGTCCACGACCACTCAGCCAGGGGGTGACAGAGCCACCCAGGACTCCTGACTCCAGGTCCTGTGTGTTACCTCGAAATAGCACTGGACTTGGAGTCAGAAGGCCTGAGTGGAGTCACCTTCCCCGCTCTCTGGCTGGGTGATCCTGGAGCAAGCCATTTTGACTCTCCAGCCGGGTTCCTCCATCTGTCCAATGGGGCCGGTGGTGCTGCCGGAGAAGCCAGAGGCCTGCTGGTGGGGTGAGCCTTGTTTGCATGTGAGATATCTGGCTGTCCCTGCTGTTGCTTCCCCACAGCCCTTCCCGGACCCTCCCCTCCCCCCAGCTCTCCCCTTGGGAGGGTTGGGGAAAGTGGATTGTCTTTTGTCCCCAGTAGTTTTCTGGTTGTCTTTGGTGGCTAACCCAGGCTTAGATTAAAGAGAACTTCTGTTTCAGAGACTTAACTTTTCTCCATTGTTGCCAGAGTAGACGTTTATCAGAACTAGGGTTGTGGCAGCTTCTTGGAAATGTCTGAAGAACGCATCTGAAAAAGCTGTGTGCTGGTTTCAGCTTTGCCTAGACTGTCCCCCTTGCCTGGTGTGCCCATGCCCACCATCCCGCATGGCTTCCTCCCTTAGTACGCCCTCCTGCCAGCTTGCCCTGCTCTCTCTGCTGTCTCTCATAGGGAGTTATAAAACCAAGCATTGTGTGTCTGAGTCTATCCAGTAGGATCTAAGTTGTGCCTTTTATCTCTTTGTGCCCGCATGGCACCTGCCAGCATGCTGAGCAATGTTCCTTTGCCCAGTTCTTGATGGGGTACATGGATTACACAGAGGGGTACAGTTGAGCCTTGCCAAACAGAAGCTCCTGGGCTGACAGGGGAGACAGCTGGGCAGGGAATACGTGAGAGAGGGATGTACAGGGTTACAGCTGCTAGCAAAAGCCTTAACTCCAATGGCCACGTGGGAAGCTCAGTAATAAAGGGGTTATTTAAAAATCACTCGAGTGCTTGGAGTGACAGTCATAGCATCAGAGACGACAAGGACGTTATACGTGGTCTAGTCTAACCCTTATTTAAAATTTTTAACATTGTTAGAAAACATCACCAAGCCTCATGGAAAAAGGTGACATATCTAATATCTCAAAATTGTTTAGTTTTGTATGAGTGTCTGCATGTGTGTGCTATGGTATGTGTGTGGAGGTCAGAGGACACCTTGCAGATCTCTGCCACCAATTGGGACATGGAGGATGAACTCGGGTCATCAGCCTTTCCCTGCTGAGCCATCTCACCAGTCCAGAAATCTGTAATTTTGTCCAAAGAGAGCTACTCCAAAGTCATCTGTATCTCAAAATCTTTCCTATTCATATAGATCACTTATTTTGGGGGGGGGAAAGAACAAATGGAGTTATTCTGTTGTACTAATTTGTAAGTTGGAAGCACACTGTTTTGTAACTTGCTTTTTTCTCCTCCTCACAATATGCTGTGAACATCTTTTTTATCAATAAATATTGTGCTTAATATCTTAATGGTTGTATAGTATTTCATGGAGGGTTGAGCCAACACACATCAATCAGTCCTTGGTTGTTACTTGGTTGTTTGTATCTGTCCTACTGTCAGCAGTGCTGAAATGAATATCTTCGTGTACATGTGTTCTTTCCTTCGTTTAAATTCCTAGAAGTAAAATTGCTCTATCAAGGGAACCGTTCAGGCATTTGGTAAACACATATCAAAATTGTCTTCTAGGGAGATTGTATTCCTTTACACGCTCATTAACATTGTGTGGGAATGCCTGACGGGTCATACCCTAGTTGTTCATACTATTTTCACTATTATCAGCTCGGTCAATAATACACTCTGTTACTCTTGCTGTTCAATGTGTATTTCTTGGGTAACGTGTGAGGTTCACTGCTTCCCCCTTGCATGGCTCTAGGGACCTGACCTGACTAGGGCAATGGGGGTATAGAGAAAAAACAGACACATGGAGACACAGCAGTAACTGGGATGGGGTATACTGGTTAGGGTTAGTGTGGACTGGGCACTCTCTGATGGAGAAAGCCTCAGATGCTCAGTGTTTATTGTATACAGTTGCACAGGGGGGTGGGGTTATTGCACACAGATAAAAAAAAGGGGCAGGATTTAAGTACTGCTGGACAAGGGGTTAAGTTTAGTTAACTTAAATAGGAGCCATCTCTGTAGGGGAAGAGTCTTCGGTCTATAAATATCCAGGGGAAGAAAACTATGGTGGACATTTTCTGCCCTCATTGTTGGCAGTCACACTTGGACTCCCAGAAGGCTTTGTGATGTCTCTGAGCTTCACTTTGGTGGTGGTGGTGGGGTAGGACTCTGCCGTTTTCCTGTGGGTCTGAAGCCGTGCCCAGGCCAACACTGTCCATTCACTCAGGGCTTTCCTGGCTTCCTATGCTCAACGCCTTCCCAAAGAGAATCACTTAAGCTGGTTCCATACAGCACCATGGTTGTGAGCTTGTCCCATTTTACAGCTGGATCTTCGTCTCCTCGTCACTGTTAAGCTGGAACTGAGCACACAGAAGGGGCCCTACACGCAGGGAGAACTGAAGAAATGACTTAAAGTCTTAGTGCCCCTTGATGGGTCTGGGACACTCCGTTGCCCTTGAAGCCAGGGCCAGCTGCTGTCCAAGTCAGAAT